TTGTTCACACTGAAAACCTGAGAAAACAACCAGAATATAAAGTAATACATCAAAAATGGGCTACACAGTTTAAAGTGGCATTAATCTTAAATTGTAATGAAAATAAAAAGTATAAAACTTCTGTTAACCTTTGAATCAAATCCATTGACCATTTCAGTTTTGTCAGCTCTCCAGCCCCACATTCCAGACTTGTTCCTGCAAAAGCAAAAGCATTACTACAGGTCAAACACACCATCCTTCAGTTAGGAATAACTTCCACGACAAAGAGAATGCAAATAAAGATTTGGGAATTTGAAGTAGCCTGTTAATGGATTAAAATGTGGCATTTAAAAAGGTGTTTGCACCAATCTGTGATAGTTCTCTTATCTTAGAGTCTTTAGCTGTGTTGCATTGTTACGTTTTGTTTTAAATTAGATATGTTCCTCCTAGCCTCAATAAACTACTATCAGCTTCAATAAGAAAGAAGTTATCTTATCAGCAATGTTAACAGGTCAACATGTGGAGCAGTTTAAGCACAGCTGTAGTTATTAACAATGGCATCCAATAAGTGGCTGAGACACTTTTTGAATATCAAGGCTGTGGCACGTCATATCTTAAGTTCAGGGTTCACTAATGCCCAAGTTACACCTCTGTTTAACAGGTCAATTGTCCACTTCAAGAAAGGCCTATTATTCGTAACTAACATTATTTGCTCACATTCATAATATATATTTGTTTAAGTTGTTATTTTGTAGGGTTACCTCACTTGCGTAAGTGAAGTCAGACAAGATACAAAAATGTCATGTCAGATAAGATTTGATCAGATAAGTGTGAATGATGCGTGTCAAGATAATTAGATGCAAGCTTGATACTGGAAAGTGGAAAGTCAAATGGTAACACTGCTTGCACAGTAACAACACACGTGACATGGTAACTCTTATGAAAAACTGTCAGTGTGGAGTTTGTTCTTGGCTGATCAAAGGAAGTATGATCTATGCATGTAATGAGAAAAATGACAACTGAAAAAGATGTGACTCTTGCCTCTCAAAAGCCATTTCCTTGGTGTCCAAGTAGGTGTTAACAATAGGAGTGGTCAGCCTTTTGGCAACTTCCTGTTCAGCTGGCTGCATTGACTCTAGTGTGACTTCCTCGATTTCTTGAGATATGTTGAAGCGTTCAGTGTCCACAACCTCATCGTCATGGTTCACCTCCATCAACTCTGCATATGAATCTGTAAAGATACATTCAGGGATAAATGATATCACTGAAATAGCACAAATCATAAGAACTCTTCTTTTAGTGCAGGCGATTTAAAGCACAAACCATCTCCTCTGAAGATGTAGCTCCTGCGCCCTCTGATCCAAGTCATGTTTTCAAAGCCCAGAAGAGTGGCATCCACTCGCAGGCTGGCGCCACTTTTCCAAATGCGACAAACATCACTTGGACAAACCCGGGACAGAAGAGGGACTGTGAAGCAACAGCAAATGAATGTCTCACACATGAAAAACGTTATCAATCATTAATAAACCAAAACAAATGCTACCCTGACAAATGTGCAGATATGTGGTATTTCCTGTGTGACCTGATATAACCTCTGCACAGGCAAAGATTATGTAGAGATACTTTCCTCTCTTGAATAGTTGATTGATGATAACTAGCATGTACTGCAGGAAAATACTACTCTGTACACACAGTATACACTTTACTTTAATGATATATAGCCACACATAGATATAAAATAACTTACTCCAACTGTTGAACTCCCACTTCATTTCCATATAGAAGTCTGGAGACTGTAGATGAAAATAAAGACAGTGAAATTAGTTCATGCAGTAGGAAATGTTTCCAGGAACACTTAGAGAAAGCTGACAAGACAACTGTAAAAATGAAGTAAGACCTCTCTGATCTTTGCCAGCAGCTCAGGCACTCCTCCCAGAGCAGTGGAGGCTTTGAGGTAGTCTCTGCGTTGCAGCACTAACTGAACCATCTCTGGGTCTCCGGTGCTGACTGCCTCCTGCAGAGCTACACAGAGACAGACAATTATAAACAAACCACTAAACTTTTTTTTTTTTTTTAAAGCATCTGTTCCCTGGGTGCAACAAATACCCATTAGAAAACCTCAGCCACAATTACAGTAATAGCAAGGGAAAGTGAAACTGTTTCACTGCAGTTAGAGGAGTGGATATGGATTTTGACAAGAAACCCCATTAACAGCAGATGCTTTGTAGGTTAATGTGATAAGGGCTTTAAGTCATCAAACAAGTGAACGAAACATGTATGGCTTCACATCCCGCTTTTATGCTACACTCTTACTGTATAATCTATTATGCTGCCAGTTCAGTTGTGGGACTAACCTGTCCAATTCATGCTGTTTTCTTTAGTCACTTCAGCACCATGTCTCAGAAGGACTCTCACTGACTCCAGGTGCCCGAGCGACACAGCCAGGTGGAGAGGGGTCCGGCCTCTGGGATCCACAGCCTCAGTGTCATTCTGAGAAAAATCAAAAAGAGACCAACATATTAGCTTGTTCTATATCCATATTTGTGTAATAAACTCTAAACCTGGTTCAACAATCCAGCAGCATTAACACATCAAGACTGCATATTGAGTCATGAGCTAAATGTGTTATTGATTAACATTGTTGGGATTAAAAGTTATACGGATTGGATCATAATAATGATATTGCACCAATATACAATACTAAACCGAGAGGAGATTAGAGATCATTTTTATTAAAATATGAATACCTAGGGGTAACTTTATATATTAGATGTTTCACAAGAATGAAGCTGAGAAGGTGGCAATACATAATACATAACAACAAAGCTATATGTTATCATATCTAACGTTAACACAAAATATGAATTATGTAAGAAACTGAGTACAGTCAAATATAACAAAATAGGACAAATACTATATTCAAAGTTGAGAACTGTGCAGATTTAAATAGAGATAGTGTGGAGCAGAAATGTGCAATATGTTCAAAGGGTTGTTCAGGATTTACACTTTTAATACTGTACATTTTAAAGTATTAAAAAGAACAATATACAACCCGGGAAACAGGCTTTTTAATGTGTAAGATAAGATAAGATGGACCTTTATTGATACCCAATACTCATAGGGAAATTCCGGTGTCATAGCAACAACAGAACAAGACAGAAACACAGATAATACACATAGGATAATACGAATAAAAAATAAAATAAGAATAAACATGTAGTAATAGTATGAATAGAAATAACAGACATGACATTAGTTAAAGTCTAAACAGGTCTAGTACATACAGATAGGTTACATATATATACATTTAAATGTGTGTAGTGGAATATATATATATTTCTGAAAGTAAACTTTGTTGATCTGTAAATAGAAATGTCATCATAGACAGTTCAAGCGCTATCTGTGTGGCACATTAGAGCATCTGTCAACACGACTGGCCTACTTTGACTGAAAGGCTACGGATGTGTTAACAGCTAACTCCTGGCCTTTTCTAGCTAGCATGCATTTGTGTTAAGTTTTGAAACATATTCCGTGTTTTAACCAACCTGTGGTAAAGTAATGTGTTCCTCCAGTGTCCTGTAGTCATTCTCCCACACGGCTGAGTGCAGGGGGAACCTCTCTCGGATCTCTTCGTTAGCCGTGGACATCTTTCTCTTTATGGAGCCGCTCAGTGCAACGCTAGCCCGCTTCTAACAATCACAGCCATGGGAAAACCGCGATAGCTACACGCTAGTCATGCCAACAAGTACAATTAATATGATCCATGCCCTCAATATTTGACGTCGAAATATCTAAACCGGTGTCCAACTTTTCACCAAGCCTTCCCCTAAAATAAACTTTTGAACAAGGAAGTGCCAGGAGCTGTTCCCAATAATGACAGGGGTGTCCTACAAAGAAATAGACTCACAAGCTAAACAATACAATCCAATTAAGGCCGCTGTCCTTACCCTTAACAATGTTAATTAATGTATATGTAATAGCAATTATTTCTTCGGTAAACACACGAGAGAAACAAGGTTTGTAAATAAAACCATCGCCTTGAGGAAAAAAAGAAAAATAGTCAGTCCCACTTGGACGAAACCATTAAGGGTCTCTGAATGGGGGATGCCATAGGACTAACTAAACGTAATAATCCTATAAACGTCCCGTGTCAAACTTTTAGGCCTTTAAGATGCTAAATATTTGAATTTCAAAGCATTTCTACTTGAAAAAATTAACAAAATAAACATTGCTAAAGCTGTTTCCAGGCATTTGCTTCTACTGAGCTCACCTATTATTTAGAAATGAGATCGGCGCTTTTACGTGTCGGGGAGGTTGAGAACACTTCACCGCCAGCGTACCACGGTGTGATGGATGTGCATATCGACCCTTTGAGGTTTTACACTATATTAATCACAGGTTATTCATAAAACCTGATGCAGTTGCTCTATTAACGTATGCATATTAAGTAGTTACTAAACTTTTCTGCAGATACATATTTTGTAACACAACCACACAATTATGATCCGTCCTGGCTGAACTCAGTTGTGAAATGCTGTTAATTTTTTAGAAATAAAGTTATTATTAAGTCAAATAAATATGGTGATATATTATGCGAATTGTGCTCCAAAAGATGAACTCCAGTAAATATATATCCAATAGGAGTCACCCTATTTTATGTTTTTAAAATTACTCTTTTTGTACCGTGTCACGAAGGTGCTTAGATCAAACTCACCTACTCTCACTTGTGTTTTTGCCCTCAGTTATTTCTATCAGGTTGTGTACCGAGCGGTACCGCCCAAAGGCCACTGCAAACTCATCTAAGCATTATGACTTGTATTTATGTATCATTATTAACGGTATTTGTAAAGAAATCAGGTCCACAATTATGATATACTTTTCCAGGCAAAATAGTCCAGGAGGCGTTATTTCCGGGAAGAAGTTTGTTTCCTGAAAGACCTGACTCTGGGCACAGTATCATACAACATTAGCAGCTGCCACTGGGAACGCTAGAGATCTGTAGTCCTTCATCTGTAGTCCTTCATTTGTAGTCCTGCTGTCTACCAGAGACCGACTGAAGAGTAAACTACCAAACGGGGACAGGCGAGTTAGCTAATCAGGTGCTAAGTCAGCCTACTTTGCAAACAAGCAACATTGTACCTTATTCTCGTTAGGTAACGTTATAATGGTTGTAACTCAGACGCTGGACAAAGCGAAACGGCTAGCAACAGTTAAATGAAGTAGCAGGTCGTTGTTTGGGGTTGTTTTTAATTAGCTAGCTAACACGGAAGGCATCCCCCCAAGAGTGATCAATGGTTAGCCAAACGCATCGGACATAATACTCTGTTTCAAAGGAGGTTTGTTGCTGAGCAAAGGATGTCTAAACGCATACGAAACACTGAGCTCTGCGCTGATTGCAGTGTTCCAGGTAAGACAATTCACACCATCCCTGAAGCTGTTACCCTTTATTTATTAACTACCAAGTAACCTTAAGCCAGAGCCTTGCACTGACTGCACTCTTTACATCAGATTATAACTACCGGTACATGCTGCTTTCCAACATATGCAGTGTTTTGAGGGGACAAGTTCTTAGTGCTGTTGACAGGTCCCTGGCTGGGGATGCAATTAGACCTGAAGCAGCTGTCTGTTTTAACTTTTTCCATCCGGTGTTACTTGCTTTCAATAATCAGCCTGGCATTTTTTTATGCATGTCAATGTAATTGCACAGTTGTTTCGTCAAAGGAAAATTATTAAATAATGTCTGTGGCATGCAAAAGTCTCCATCTAATTGGAAATGTAATAATCCATTATATCTGATCCTACATAAGCAGGAAACTGCTCTGTATCTATCACTAGGATGATTTAAATAATTGAAAGTCAATGTACAGTGCTCTCTTTTCAGGGTGAGTTTTGTGCAAAAGAGCCCCCAGTCCCATGTTGAGTGTCACTGAAAATATTCTGAATGGCATTACTTCTCCTCCTCTGAATCTAACTGTGTAAAGTCTTTCTTAAAAAAAACAATGTGTGAAAAGATATGGCCCCCCCTTAAAAGCCCCTCCCAAAAAAAAAAAAATGCCTTATTCCACCTCAAAAATGTTTGTCACATTGAAACAATCACTGCACTCTGGTATCTGTAGTTATTGTCAGGGGATTCATTAATTAAGATGAAGAGAGCTTAACCTGTGTTTGTGACATTATGGTAATAGTATTAGCCATTGGAGAAATTTGAATCAAGCCCTTACAGTCAAACATACTGTTTGTAAGCTGAACAAGTTGCATTGTGTTTGAGGAACCTTCAGGAGTCCCAGTTGTAATGAAATGACGTGATGTTTTCGGCAGGCACAGGAAGCAAAACAGGATGCTGAGTGAATTGACTGCGTGCTTTCAATGCAGACGATTTGTTTCTATTGTCTAACCACAAAACATTGCAATTAGGATTTACAGTAACAGTAGGCTGAGAATTAGTTTTAGAACTTTTATGTTGGGTACTTTCATATTTCACAAGAAAAACAACACATGTGCTTAAAATGTAGCAATACTCAAGTTTCAGTACCTTGTCCATCATCATGTCACTCAGACTAGTTAAACCCAGCAGGTCTTCACAGCAGCTGGCCTGGATTGCCCCTCCATACGGCTGCTACCAGTTGTTGGCTGAGAATATTTTTAGAGTTTCAAGATGTGGTATTAAATTTAGCAGCACTTGTTGAGGAAAGGGTAAAAGAGGCATGTCAGCACCAACTCCCAGGTCTTGGTCTGAGAGTAAGGAGGAGGATAGTCTGAACACTGGGGACCAGGTGCCAGTTTCTGACCAAAACCCCTGCAGCTGTTCCTCCTACACCTCAGCTGCTGCTCACACACTCACATACTTCACTGTCTTGTCCCAGTGCCAGCCACTCAATCTGCTTAACAGTTTATCGGCTGTCGGAGTATCGTATGAATTTACAGTATTTTTGGTCTTCAGATGTTCGCTGTCAGAGGAGTCTCTGTATAAATTGCAGACGGCACAACTATGTGGCATTTGTGAAGTGTAATAAATAGGTCAAGGTTAAGTAAACATATTTATTTCAGTCACACAGTATACTGTATCTTGTATACACTATATTTCTCTAACTATGCATTTCCAGAATTTACAGCACCAAAAGTATTGATAGCATTTGTGTGTTTTTGTTTAAAGGAGGAAGCTGCTCTCTTACTTAACATTTAGGTCGAGGTGCTTCAACCTACAACTGCTAGTCACTTCCTCGTTACACAATGCATGGCTTCACCTAAGGGTGGGGTTAAACAGGCTTTAAATGTCTCTTATAGCCAGTAAAACCTTATGTTAAAACCTTCTCAAGTCAAGTCAAAGTGTTACCATGTTCTAACCAGTGTTTGACTGTCTGTAGTATTAGTGCCCTATGTAGTGTTAACTGTTCTTCTTATATATTAGTAGAAATGAACAATACAGTAGTCTAAACTGGGAAGTCAAAACCAGATGCAAAGCAACTATTGGCTCTCAGGAATGATTGCATTTGCTTTCTTGCCTGTGGCACTCAGCACCAGGCCAATTCAATCAAAAATGAATTCAAAACCAAAAAACATAATAAAAAATAAATAAAATATATATATATATAAATACAAATAATATTCTAAAACAATATGAAATTTCAATATTAAAGACCTACCTAAGGTCTTAAAGAGCTGGACCCAGTAGATTACGGCACATGTTGCTGATGAAGAAGTAAAATATAATAATAATATTATAATATAATAATATAGAAAATGCATTTTCCTGGATTATTTTCATCCATAAAATAAAACAGTTTTGTTGACATCCTGACTATTTCAAGCAATTTACCCAAAAGTATCTATTGATAGTACACCTAGTACATAAGTGTGGGTCGCACAATAAGTTGTCTCAGGCTTTGAACACGGACAATACTTGTTAGAAGGATCTTTTTAGTTTTAGATTTGGCATTTTTTTCCTAGCTTTATCCTTTATGCATGTGTCTCTCATTGTTTTGACACTATAAGTTTCTGTGAGTGCAGTCAGTGAGGAACAGGAAAGGAGAAGTGCTACAACCTAGCATGTCGGTTATTTGAATAACGGTACTGAATGTGAAGAGAGGACATTTCCTATGATACATGTATAACTCATCTAAGACTACCTACAATTAAAGTTAGAGCAGATCAAACCTGTTAGAACTGAAGGATCCAATATTGTACCCTAAAGCCCCTCCTTTAATTAGAAAATAATCAATTAGATTGCAGAAAGTGTGATTTTCCCTGTTGTCTCTTCCCTGTCAGAGCCTCGCTGGGCCTCTGTGAACAGAGGAGTGTTCATTTGTGACGAGTGCTGCAGCGTTCATCGGAGTCTCGGAAGACACAGCTCGCAAGTCCGCCACCTGATACACACACCATGGCCTTCTACACAGCTACAGGTGATTATTTAATTCAGGAGACATTGATATTAATATTCACCTGTGCGAACCTACATATCTTGAGGACTTTCACAGTGTGCTCATGAGTGCTTTGAGGCCGATTCCCCTCTCCTACCAGGCCTTGAGATCCTGTTATCCTTGCACAAAATCTGTTTCAGTGTCGTTTAAAATTCATCAGACCTCTATCTTTGCTCACAATCTGTTGACAACAGTTGTACATCAGATCCCACTGGGGTTTATTGATTTTGTCCAAATATAGAAAGGGTTTGTTCGGGAAGTGAACTCAGCCTTCTGCAGTATAAATCATTGGGATATATTATACAGGTTCCTTTTACATTTCATCCTAGATGGTTCAGACATTATACGGCAATGGTGCCAATTCAATATGGGAGCACTCTCTTCTGGACCCGGCCTCTGTGATGAGTGGAAAACGCAAGGCCAACCCTCAGGACAAACTGCAGTGAGTTATTATTGTTGTGAAATGTTCATGTAGATGTTCATTAAATAACCCAAATAAATTATTGTTGAACTTCCATCTTTAGTCTGTTCCACTGACTCACTAACGGCCTCTTTCTTTCTGTTTGAATATGTTTCATGTTGTCCTGAAGCCCAAACAAATCCGAGTTTATAAGAGCCAAATATCAAATGCTGGCATTTGTTCATCGCATGCCTTGCCGGGAGGACGACAGCTCCACAGCCAAGGATTTAAGCAAGGTGAGGAGAAGGGGGTCCCCATGAGTTGAGCAGAAAACTGATATTTGGCACAATGTTTTATTATTACGCTTCATTCATTCATATTAATTGTTTTTTTGTTTTTTTTCAGCAACTTCACTCAAGTGTACGCACCGGGAATCTGGAGACTTGTTTGCGGTTGCTATCCCTGGGAGCACAAGCTAATTTCTTTCACCCGGTAAGATTCATCTGCTGCATTTAAAACCATAAATACACGAGGGCGACACTCTGTGTATCATCGGGGCAGAATGTGCTCCTGACACATGCCCTGAAGCACTAACTGCCACAGAGGCAGTAGTGTCTTAATCAAAATGATGAACTACTAGGAAACTGGATTTGTTTCAAGAAATGGAGGCCACACTCTTTACGCCTCTGGCCAGATTTGGCATCACAAAACTTGCCAGGTGTGTAGTTGAAATCAGATTGAAGGTTTTGAGATGGGTGTGGTCTGAGCAAGGGAGCCAAGAGTAGGGAGGGAGAAAGCTGGGATTCAAGATTCAAAGGTTTTATTGTCATATGCACAAAGCTATAGTGTAGAAATGACAATGCAATTCTTCTGACCTGAGCTCCTCCAACAAAAGTGCAAAAAGTCTAGATACACGTCAATAGAATATGATATGTACAAGAACAGAATATGAAATGAAAGAATGTAAATTACTGTAGGACAAAATGAAATACGGTTTATTGCGGTGATAACTATTTATATAAATAAGTATATTGCAAGATGACAACAGGAATGTTTATCGGGGCACTTAGCAGAGCTCAGGTGTTCAGCAGTCTTATGGCCTGTGGGTTAAAACTGTCCCTGAGTCTGGTGGTTTTTGTGGGATTGGCCGCCCCGACTTAAGGCCCCTGACCAGATTTGTCTTTGCATGTCAGAGTGATCCCAGAGCAAGATGTTCTCTAATTGTAATCTTTTGCAATAACGTTTCTATTACATCTACATCCCAATGGTTGTTCCTCCTCTCCTCCAGGAGAAAGGGAGCACTCCCTTGCATGTAGCTGCAAAAGCAGGACAAGTATCTCAGGCTGAACTGTTAACTGTTTACGGAGCAGACCCCGGAGCCCCTGACAGCAATGGAAAAACTCCCATTGACTATGCAAGGTTAGCTATTTTCAATTATCCTTAATAACTCAAACTCAATTTATCATCAGTGGTATATCATGGTTTTTGATGTGCCTTTTGTAGGGAAGCTGGCCACCATGACCTGGCAGACAGACTGGTGGAGATTCAGTATGAACTAACTGATCGGCTGGCCTTCTACCTGTGTGGGAGAAAGCCAGGTATGCAGTGAGAGAGAGATTTGATATTGAAATACCTTAAAAGATACGGATCAAAGAATATGTGCAGAGGTGTTGGTTGGAGCTAAAGAAAATATTGACTTGGCAAATAAGCCACAACAATGAGTAAGTTAGTGTTTAAGCTAGGTAGAGACGCAGATAAGAACAAGTGTTTATAATTTCCCCTGTGAAACCAAGTATGTACTATATTTAAAACACACTTCATCTAGAACGTTCACATTTCCGATAAGTATTGATTATGTTGTTGGCAATCCTTCAGAACACTTTTGTTCTTGCTTTCAGATCATAAAAACAGCCAGCACTTCATTGTTCCACAAATGGCTGACAGGTAAGAAAGCACTCTGTACGTAAGTCAACATGATGCATGTCAATATGAAGTGATTGATCTCTTATTGAACCTACATCTAAAGTGAATGGGCTTAACTTGAATCCAGCCAACAAAGAGAGTACAGAGAGGCAGCTTTTTGAGGGTTGTCTTTTGGCTCTGAGGCCTGTCCTAACACGCTGCTGAGAAAGCTGCAGCATCTACTATCTGTGTTTTAAGGAAATGGAAGTAGCTGACATACCAACCACTATTGCTGCAAATAAATCAAAACGTTTCTCCAAGCAACTGTAATTCATCACAGGCAGAACAATCTTTGTGCTTTTTTCAATTTAATAACACATTTAATCTCCTTTTTAATTGCCCTCTTTTGATGGATAAGGAACATGTAAGTATTGCTCAGAATGCAAGAGGCATTATGTATACCTATCATTTCACCAGCATGTGTTTATGAAAGCTATGCTCTGTGTGTAGCAGTTTAGATTTATCAGAGCTGGCCAAGGCGGCAAAGAAGAAACTGCAGTCTGTAAGTATTTTAGCAACATTTCCCTGAAGTTAGCTATATTTTCTTCCCTTACTTAAGTCTTAAGTGTCATTCTCTAATTGTCATGCAGCTGAGTAATCATTTATTTGAAGAGCTGGCCATGGATGTTTACGATGAGGTGGACAGACGAGAGACTGATGCAGGTACGGGAGAATGATCCAGTACAAGATTTGTTGTCTTTCATCCGGAGAATACATTTCTTGGAGTCCCCCTCTTGTGTAATATAATATGTGCTCATTGTTATCCGTTTTATTTGGTAGTGTGGTTAGCAACACAGAATCACAGCACTCTGGTGACAGAGACGACTGTGGTGCCTTTTCTTCCTGTGAATCCAGAGTATTCATCAACACGAAATCAGGCAAGTTCGATTTACAGACAGCATACCTGCACATGTTTACTATTACCCCTTTGCACACGTATACTGTGAAGTAACATCGCATACTTCTGGGCTGATGTGTCTTTGTTTTTCTTATTTAGGGACGACAAAAGCTTGCGAGATTCAATGCACATGAATTTGCAACTCTTGTCATTGACATATTAAGTGATGCTAAGCGCAGACAACAAGGGAGTTCGATAGCTAGCCCCAAAGGTCAGCATCTTATTGTGACTTTATTCCAACATGTAACTGATACTGAAATGTAGCGCAGATATAACTTTTCCACCTTGCGCCCCTTCATTCCAGATAATGTTGAATTCATCCTGAAGAACGTGGCAGTCAGGCACTGCAGTGACAGCCAGGACAACGACCAGCCTGACTACGACAGCGTGGCGTCGGACGAGGACACAGACCAGGATTCCCCCACCAACAAAGGAGATAGGACCAAGGTATCGTGGCATCACTTTCACAAATAAAACCCTGAAATCCGTTCTGTGTTTAACCCCTCCCTCTCCCACAGAGCCTGGACTCTGACCTCTCCGACAGCCCCATCACTGTGCATGAATACATGGAGGTGAAACACGCGCTCTCTGCCTCTGAGGCCAAGATCCAGAACCTCATGAAAGCCAACAACAACCTGAGCGATGAGCTGAGGCTGATGCAGAAAAAGGTATCCCCCGCGCTCCACCAATAAAATCACTAACACCGGGGGGCCGCACTGAGGGGGGGCCACAGCGGTCAGCAGAGCTCTTGTGGAGGCCGATATCTGAACAGGAATGCTGAGTTGCACGATAAGGCTGCTGTGACACCCTGCTGGTCCACCCTCTGTTTTGGCCAGCATGTTCGATTTCATTTCAAAGCTTCCATTCAAACCGGAGATTCTCTTTTTTTTTTCATTTGTTTTCTGGATTTGAGAAGAACACAATTCCTACTTTCTCCAGTTAATAACAGAAACATTTTACCAGTAGGTTTCTCTTTTTGGTACAAACCCATTCTGTCTAATGTGACTAACAAGCATGTTTTAAGAAAAAGCATGAAGTAATCAACAGTGTTTTTTAATCCCTTCATAGTGACTTACCATTGTATGTGTGTGCATTGCTTCATCACATATACTGTTTTTACTGCATAGAATGTTTTTGGATAATTGACTGCTCTTGTTTTGGGCAAAAGCCTTTTATTATGTATGGTTTTATTGTTTGACATGTTTTCTAAGTGGTCCCATTTCATAGATATTTAAAAGAATACAGCTGATACAAACCTGGAACTCTGATACTGTTACATCGACAATGTTAACTTTGAGATTCTGCACATTTGTATGCACTGTGCTTCAGTGATCAATCCGTGTCCTGCTAAATCCTGAACATTGTAACTTTTGGCAACAGATGTTCTATGCATGTTACATCTTTTTATTTTGTTAAAAGAAAAACCTGTCGTTAAGGTTATATTCCTGTTAAAATGGCTTAATTTGGCAGTTTTGAAGGAAAATGCAGATAATTTGTCTCTTAACTGTGACGTACAGCACTGTAGAGTACGGCATTGCTTTTGATGATGGGACCTGGCTTCGTGTTGGCTCGTGGGTTTCCCAAATGAAGATGAGTAAATAGATAAAGAAAATGATTGGCAGAGGTTGGACACTAAACCATAATACCCCCATTTCAGACCAGTACCCTCAATTTACTTTGTATATAAATACAAGTAGTTAATTAGCCAGTATTTTTTCCTCTAAAAATCATCATGACATTGTTTTTTTAATGGCTCTTTTCTTCCTATATTCCTCACTTAATCTGTGTGTACTTTGACTCATACTGCACCTCTGTTGCTAACCTACAAAACAATCTGTTGCTTGCTTGTTACTTGCTTTGCCTTTTTTTTTTCTTGCTTTTTTTGTTGACAAAATCGATGTTATTCCTATGATCTTTAGGAGGTAAGAGTAAATCTTGAAATTATATTTATGGGAAAAGATTCATGTTTCTAACCTGAAAGCTATACGTTTCCGCATGACATTATCATTGAATCAGCTCAAAGTCATATATATATATAATAATAATAATAATACATGTTATTTATATAGCGCTTTTCCTGGTGCTCAAAACGCTTAAATATATATATATATATATCTATATATTGGTGACGTGTCAAAAAAGAGCATATGAGAGTGATAATCAAATATTTACTGTTAACTTTCTATCATTGGAACAACAAAAACAAATGAAGACCTTTGCACAATTAAATGCCAGTCAGCGTGCAGACAGAAGCAGTCTGTCGAATCACAAGATCATATTTTAGGGAAACATTGGAATAAACTCAGAAATGTAATGCGTGTGAGTGGATCAGAGCAGGAACCACAGCTTGCTTTGCCGACAGCACCTCTTAGTTTATTGCTAAACGTCTCTTCCAGCTGCAATCTCTGCAAAGCGAGAACATCTCTCTCAGGCGGCACGGCCCAGCCTATATCTATCAGACCCCCAGCGCCTCCCCAAGCCCCTCCAGCCCCTCGGCCCTGAAGCGCCGACAGTCTGCGCGGGCCAGCCGCCCCATGTCTATGTATGAGACCGGCTCAGGCCTGAAGCCCTATCTCCCTAAAGGAGAGAGCCACTACCCAGAGGAGTGTGTCCCCACCCTGCAACCCTTCCCACCTCATGTAAGTAAGACCCTGCTCTCCTTTGCCATTTCCTCTCCTGCCCTGTTTCCACTACTTTCCCTCATGTTTCCACCCTGTCTGAAAAACCTTCATTTTTTTTGCCACTGGGGAGTTTTTTCTTTGCAGCATGAAAGAGTCATCAAAACCACAATGACATGTATTTAGACACAGCCAGTCACAGCTCATCTTGTCCAGATCCATTTTCAAAACCACTATCTGCAAAAAAAACCTGTTGTTCTCTGGAGTGCTGCTTGTTTGTCAGACAAGCGTAGCTGTTACCAAAAGAAGATGCTGTTATTATGATATCATTTCAAGGTTTGTACTGTGTTTTTATGTTGATGAAGCATTAAAACTACCATACAAATACTCTGTGTTTTTGTAATGCATGATAATTTCATAAACTCACATTATCTTCTCATCTGTTTTGATTCTCTCTTTTGTTTCAGTAATTTGCATTTCAATTTGAGCATGTGAATCATAGTTTTCTGCAAATGTTCTCTTGATGGATGAACGCCTTTGCTCTTTAGTCTTATATTTTTCCAGCACAAATTCATAAATAAATGTAGGAGCATAATCCGAACAACAAAGCTCCTTTTAAAATTGTCTACGTAGCATTATCTTAATCTCACCCCTCACCTTTTCTCCTCCTGATTTTAAGGGTTAAATTCATTACACAGTTTCCCATCAATTCCATTTTAAGTATACAGTATCCGACCGAGACGCATCTGACTTGAAGAGGCTTCTGGGACATGATCTGGTCTTATTCACGTTTGTTTCTTTTTTAAATTTAAGACATTTGTGTCCTTAAAATGTGATTTGAACCCTGTCTTTAGACGGAAAGGGGCGCTTTTGTGACCACCTCTTCATCCCTCCCCTCATTTCCATCCACCCTGTCTTGGTCGAAGGACGAGAGTGCTCAAAAGGTTAAGTACATCCACACTCGGTCCACATCTCGTGGGACGCAGCCAATCCACTTGGAGCCGTTCTTGTCTCCCCCCCCTCGCCTCCCTCTGTCCTCCATATGCTGCTCCATCTCTGCTGCATGAGCCTCCACCAGCTGCCCCCACCTTCACATATCCTCAGCATCATCCTCACAGCTAAACAATTGGATTTGTGTGGTTTTGTGCAGGCGAACCCCTCTGTTTGAGCGCTGAACGAGGAGCAAATTGTGATGCAAACACCTCCTCATTTAATGCTTCCTGTCTTTGCTCCAGAAACCTGTTTAGCAGATGATGTTGAAAATAATTGTTTGTGCAAAGTCTGTTTTTACTGATTGTCTTTTTTTTTTTTTAAACAACCACCAGTCTATAAAACGAAAGGGGAACAAATTGATTAAAGCTGATATTTGAAATGTATATTTTATACTTCAGTTGGTCCGAAAAAAGAGAAGTCCTTTTTTTTCACCGTCTCTAACAACTGCCTGGCTCTTTTGCACAGTGAGCTTCCAACAGCATGCTCTCACTTCCTCCTGAAACACAAACAATGTTGTGTTTCACGATTAGTTTACAGTCTAAAGAGATTTATTTTCTGTTCAGTCAGAACTCGGATATATCTAGACATGTAAGGGCTAATTGCATTTGCTGAAGCTAGCTTATGTGTCCTGCATTGCATTTTCTACTGCATACAAATAGTGGATTTAGTTTAGATTCTATTGGACGTGGATTGAGAATGAACGTGTTGTACAATCGGTGCGGTGTGGATCGATTGTACCTGTTTGTCTCGGCTTCCTGTTTATACAATTAGATTTGAGTTTGATAGTCTTCAAGTATAGTAAAAGTCTCAGATCACAGTTAACATATCAGGAAGATAAGGCAATCCTATGTTCTGCAATTCACCTAATAGTTGTGTTGCATTTGATTTAGTTTAAAATATGAACTCATCTGAAACTTGACTTCCCATTATCAACAATGATGTCTACTTCCCTTTTAGTTACGGGTTCGGTTTCTGTTCTGATTTAAAGTTTCGAGCATAGCACATTTTCCCAATGATTACAATTGGCGTTCTGTTCATTATCATCCATGTATTTATCGCTTTTTCAACATTATCACATTTGATGATGATCCTAGTCAGTCGAATGACCGAATTCTATTTGTGCTTGGAAAAGACCAAGGCCATTATCACTCAGCAGTAGTAATATGTCACACTGACATGAGTTAACTCTGAACTCTGCATTATCTGTTTCACTGTTTGACTGCTTTAAATTAATGATGTGCTCTTGCTTCACAGATCTTTTGGCTTGTTTCAGTCAGACCACCTGCATCGCTTTCACTTCTTTATATTCCAATTTGACATACAACAAACACAGGGATACAGTTATTGATTTCACCACAGCTGTTGTGTTTTTATTATCAACGACATGGGAGTCTTGCATGGTATTGCAATCCATGAAGCATCTTTTTTTTGTCTCCTCTGTTTCTTCTAGGCCTCGAATTTAGAGAAGCAAATCAGCATGCCGGAAAGTGACTATGACAACACATTCAATGACTCTGAGATGGATGATTCGGGGTAAGAGCCCACAATGATGGTTTGTACAAAGTGATGAGTGAGAAAGAATATTATGAGTTTTATACAACAAACAATTTTAAGGGTTTCCAAACGTAATGTGACGAGTTGTTTTGTCTTTAGAGTAAAAACAACACGCAGGGCTTTTGGCTGTAGACATGATCTCTTCTGAACTCCTCTGTAGGTACTGCAGGAGAGGCAGGCTGAGGAGCTGGCTGGGGGAGGGCAGCTCCATCCCTGAGCTGGACGATGTGATGATGGAGGCAGACCCCACGCTGCCCAGCACTGAGGACGTCATCCGCAAAACAGAGCAGATCACCAAGAATATCCAAGACCTGCTGAGAGCTGCTCAGGAAAACAAACACGACAGGTCAGAATCTGAAGAGAACATTTATCAGTTTAGGATTTCCTTTTTAGCTCTCATTATCTTGCTTCATTTTAGTTCCTCTTCGTCATTTCTTCTGTTATTTTTAGTTGCGTGTATGTCCTATCATTTCCCTTTTTTGTGTGTTATCTTCACTCTTCCCCTTCATTCAACTTCCACTCTGCCCCGCTGTTATGATGTTGCTTTGGTGTCGTGGTGCCCCGCCCCTCACCCTGAGAGCAGACCCTCTGAGCGGGAAGGTGTGCGTCGGCTCAGGCACAGCCTGGGATGTTTCAGCACTCTGGTGCCCTGGGCCGAGAAGGCCCCGCCCCCCCTTCAGCCGCTCAGCCTGCGGTCCCCTGACCCCTCATCCTGGTACTCTGGCCTCTGTCCCTGCCTCCCAGGCACACTTTCATTTCCCTCTCCCGCACACTGTTTCTGCCTCACCCTTTACCTTCGGCCTCACCTGCTAACAAACTGTCTCTTTTTCTTTGTTTTGCTGATTTTGAATTTGCTTTATGTTATTTAGGAGAGATATGCATTGTTTGGCTGTTGTTTGGTTCATGTGTCAAGCAACATTTATTGAATACAAAAATGTGCTTTGGAATAAAACTGCCTTTTACTTACAATGCTAAAAAAAAAGTCTGCAATGAATGGAAAGATGGTTAAATAGCATGATCTGAAAATGTTGACCTGATGTTAGATATCATAATGCACGGTGTGGTGTGAATTATATATTGTGGCTTATGACATCATATAATATGACATCAATATGTTGAACTCAACCACAACTCTCTTCTCTTCACAGCTTCATACCCTGTTCAGAAAGAATACATGTGGCTGTGAAAGAAATGGCTGCCCTCTTCCCAAAGGTATGAAGAGTGTTGTGTTTGCTTTGAGAGCACGGATCAGTCTGGCATTTCATCTTATATGTTATGCTAGAGGTATCATAAGGCACAAATACCAGAGATTCAAGGTCCAACCACAGCACTATTTTAAGTTGTGCCAATTCCTGATGTATTATTTCACTTGATTCTTTACTGAAATAAAAATGTAATCCTATAGTTTATATTCCTGTGTATTAATTATATATAGTCTTAACATTTGGTTAAAAAAAGACAGTTTGCAAAGTTTTTTTCACCACCTCTCTTTGCACAAATCTGCTTTTCAACAATCTCAGTCCATCAGTATTAATCTATGTAATCCTTCCTCTGCAGAAGCCGCGCTCGGAGACCGTGCGAGGCTCTCTGCGCTTGTTGACCTCCAGTGCGTTCCGGCTTCAGGGCGAGTGCAGGAAGGCGCTGCCGTCGGAGGGCTGCGCGGCGCCGGACATGCAGCTGGTCACCCAGCAGGTCATCCAATGTGCTTATGACATTGCCAAGGCCGCCAAGCAGCTTGTGACCATCACCACAAAGGAGAATACCAACTAGCAGCACTTACAGGGCTGCAAGCATCTCAGTTTCCTCATTTTTTTTTATGATTCTTTTGGTTTTTTGTATTTGTGGTATATGCATGCATTGTTTTTTAATTTATGAATAAATATTTAAAGCAAACTATGAACAAAATCTGAGTGTAAAAGGGAGAACAACTTTATTTAGGCATCCTCAGCTGTTATAATAGCACAATTTATCTTGAGGTGAAACAACAACTTCCACAAATCATGTTAAATCAAGCAGCAGCTAGCAGGTCTGGGACTGTTATGGTTTAAAGATTACAATTTGAGTAAACTCGCCCATACTTACAAATAACCTTAAATCAGCTTTTTGATTGAGAGAACAAATGAAGCACAGCATACTGTAGTAGATCCAGATGTTGACATTGGTTCATGTTAACAGCCCAGAGCAAGACATGATGCTGAAAGCCTTAAAGTGGACCTATCATGCTATATTTGAATAATATAGTGTAGGACCATACCTATATAAGGCATATTTATACCTTTTTTTTTTTCAAAATACCAAACAGATCATGCATTTTAGCCATACCTCATTTTGCTCAATTTGACATGTTTTAGATCTGTTTTAGCAAGGGCAGATTCTGTGAGCAACAGCACCATCTAGAGGCCTGGCATATGTACTACAACGTCTCCAGCGCTTTCGAACGGCAATGGCCGTGGTTGTCTCCTCCTGATTGGTGGAGTTGGCCCAATAGCCGTAGCGCCACCGTCCTGACGTCAGGACAGTGTTCAAATCTGGATCAGTTTTTATCAGATCCGTTGCAGCCCCTTTTTTAGAGATTTGGGTATGGAGGAAAATAGAGAGGGTTGTGTTTTCTGACACTTGGTGAGTTCCCTGGAACACCGGGGACACATATTCATGTATAAAAGACGTACAAAAGTGCATTTTGCATGATAGGTCCCCTTTAAATGAGTCATGAATCTGCTGTGGTTGAATGCTATTGCTAACACCCTGTAGCTAAAGGAGCGTCAGTCACTAACTGCAATGTGCAAGCATCATCATACTGTCTAATCTCCTAAAACAAATTGACCATTACACTTTGGAAACTTCATTAATGCACACGTTGGGGCTCTGCAATGCTCTTGTTTGCTGCAATGAAAACACTTATGTTGTTTGTGCCCTTTCCAAGAAAAATCCAGTCTGCAGTGCACTTACATTTATCCGTGCCCATTTGTCTAATCAGTAAATGCAGAAAAAGCGCTTGTTCAGGGGCTAAGCTGTATGCTTCACCAGCTCGCTGATGTTGATGTATTTTGTTCAAACTATCCGGTGTGTCTTCACGCTGCACTGTATTGTGCGATCTTGTGTGCCATTGCAATGTTGGTGATGTGACAATATATGTAGAGCTAATACTATATGTATGTCCATGTGTTTGGTGCTCTGTTACCATGCTGCTTGTTTCGTACTTAATGTGCGTCATATGGGATAGAAGTCTAGGCGTCTCCTGTATAATTGTGCAACCTCACATTCATCCTCACAAAGTGTTTCAGAGTTCATCGTGGTTTGGAAATCTGATCAAGTAATGTCCCTCTCTGTACCTGACCAGAGTGCAGGGATGTTTGTGATGCAGCTGTTAAGTTGCACCTGGGAAAAATAATTATTTTCTAAATAAACTTAATTTATAAATATATCAAATGTGTGTTTCATGTATGCATTGCCTTCATACAGAGTGCTGAAATGATTTGGTGGCAAAATGTTTATTATAAAGTCTACAAGTTCAGGATAGAAAAAATACAGCTCGAAAAGTGCAAAAAATCAATCATTTTCTACATATGCAAACAACAAGAATTAAATAATTAACATCAAGATGGCACAATATTTGACCTCATAGCACAAAAAGAAACAATCCTTACTGATTGGATTAAGTTTGAAATGCTTAAATTGAATAAGGACTGGATTGTGCCCATCACATCTCCTCATGGCCATTAGGAACAGAAGGAACCATTACAGTGCCCGCTAACTATTTCGATTCACATATAGTCACGGGAGCATTGTTTCAAGACACACTTGAAGAAAGACAAATGTATCCTTTAAAGCTAATTTCAGGTACAAATATACATCTCACAATATTTGTTTGACTTCAGTCTTGTCGGTGGCTCATGTCCACGCTGATCGAGGTCTGCTTCGAGTCTGAAAGGCACAAGCATATTTTAATATTGAACAGCATTTTGAAACTTGAAATAGGAACATTCAGCGGGACTTTCATCTTTTCTCCTGCCTTCTGGGAGGAGATACAGGAGCTTCAAGTCACGGACAAACAGACTAGAAAACAGCTTCTACCCCTGGGCCGTCAGGCTGCTTAACCTCTACACTTAATGCAATAACCGTAACCATCTCCACACATATACACACTTTAAAAATGATAAACTATTTTTATATCAATATTTGTAACTATTTATTCCCCCGTATGATTGCTTATGTTGTCTGTCCTACTGCCGTGTTTTTAATGTTATGTATGTCTAGTTTTTGCACACTGGGACAGGGTTGCACTTTTTGTATGATGACAATACAAAAATAAAATAAAAAAGGCTTTAACTTTTACCTTTTCCTGGTACCCTTTATCGGCCATCCTCTGTATCTCTAGCCTCAGCTCCTCCTCCTGGATTTGAAGAGCCTCCTTGTCCTCCTCCTCTTCCTCCTCTAATCTGCACCGCTCCTCCCACTGCTGTTGGTGCCGCTGCTCCACCTAGAGTATAAATACAGAAACAACTTAATATCTGTTTTTAATGATATAAAAAAAAAACACATCCAATCCTGTGTTGTTGGCTGGAATGAAAGGTAATATATATTTCTTTATGTTGAAAAAACAGTGCTATGAAATCCCAAACCACTGTGCCCACCTGAGCATTTATCTCTTCCATCCGTGCTGTCTTATGCCCCTCTTCCTGCTCCTTCTCCTGCTGCCTGGTCTCCTTCTCCAGCTCCAGATCCTGGATCAGCTGTTCTCGTCTCTTTAGGGACTCCTCCTGAGCTTCTCTGTTCTTCTGCAACTTAAGCTCAAGCTGCTGCTGTCTCCCAGCAAGTACCTTTACAAGAAAAAGGAGAAAGAAGGAAAGTTTAGCAGTCATACCATTTGAAAAGCATTAAAATAAGAATTCATTTAAAAACAATTCACCTCTAGCATGAGTCGTTCTCTGGCTTTCCTCTCCTTCTCCCACTGTGCTTCTCGCTTCTCCCACATACGTTGAGCCTCTTCTCTAAAATGGATGAGATACATAGGTTGGTGTTGGAGGAGAAGTCCTTTCCTGCAGAGTCAGAGCTTATTGAATCTTGGTGCTCACCTGCGTAGGATGTCAAACTCAGCCTCCCTCTCCCGCTCCAACTCAAGCTGCTCTTCAATCACGTGTTTCATCCAGGCAGCATCAGCGATGGCCCTTTCCCTCCGCGTGGTCTCTATCTTTGTGTCCTCCTGCTGCCCTTCCAGCAAGGCTGCCAGGATCTTACGGTCGGCCTCCTGGTGGGCACAGGGGGATTTGAATAAGGTGTGAAAACCAGGGCAAGTTGGATTATGTAGAACTATATATATATATATATATATTGTATCAAAACAGGGTGGAGTTGACCAACCAGTTCCTCCTGCACTTGCTGGGCTCTCCTCTTGAGCTGAGCACGATACTGACGGATCAAGAATTGCCTGGTGGAACACACATCCAATGAACCCCATGCCTCACCAGAATAAGGCATCATATAACGTGTGAGTCGTTATCTGCAGGAAGAGATTCCCTTACCCCATCTCACACTTCTTTCTCTTTTCCTCAACCGTCTTTCTTTCCCCCTCTGCCTTCTCCAGCTCCCATTGTTTGACCAGCAGAGCCTCTTGCTCCTTCTTCAGGCGAGTTGCCTTACAGAAAAAACAAGATTAGCTTTCACATCTGCAATGTTTGCCAAGCAGAAACACATTGTCCAAGTTCGGATTACCTCCTCTTCCCTCAGCTTCAGTTCTTCCATTTGTTTGCGAAGTTCCTCTGCCCTCCTCCGCTCCTCTGCGTTCCTATTCTCCTCGGCTTGCTTTATCCTCTCCAGAGCCTCTTTTCTGGTCCTCTCGTACTCATTTTCAAAGCGTTTTTTCTCCTTCTTCTCGGCCACTTCTTCCTACATGTTTAAAGAGCAGGGTCACTTACAGTAGGTGTTTAAACTTTCTTAAGTATCTGCCATTCTCAGGGGATCAATGTAAGTAGATTTCAGACTTGATACTGTGTTCACAGATGAGCCCAGTTTAATTAAATATTGATTTGTTTCATGAATAATTTGTCACGTAAAAGGATAACGGCAGAGTCTAACACCTTGTGGGTCCGATGTGTCATCACTGACTTAAGGGAGGGGATGCTTAAAAGTGGTAAACAGCCATTTTTACACAATTTGGTCTAGGTAAAATTCAGTAATAACGAATAAGTGTTTTTGACCTGTAGGTGATTTGGAGATTACTGTATTTACGGAGACAGTTATAAAAACATTATTGTGATGAATGTCTCACCTGTTTCCTCTCAGATATCTGCTCCTGCCATTGGCCGACAACATGATCTTTATGTAATGCTGACTCGACCTGTGGACAGATTAAAGGTAAGGACATACACGAGACAGGGATACTGATTAACTTGATCCTTAGCGGAAGGGATACCAGAACATTTTATTCTCTGGAGTCTACACTGGACTCAGGTTAACAGAAAGTCATGGAATATCTGCATCACAAGGCCTATTAGTTTCCAGATCAAGTGAACATCCTGACAAAAAGTGTCTGTTTTCTCCTCTTGCAGAGCTCTTCAGACGCACAGAACGGTTACTAGAGTCCTGAGGCCATTTATCACTTCATCGACAGTGAGACTTAAACTTAGCTACCTCTCGCAACTCTGTGTTGTTTGTCTTCCAGTGCTCCCTTAGCAGCTCTTGTGAAAGCTAGGGATAAAACAGAAAGGAAAGAACAGGATTTATACACTTATGGCAGAGTACTACCATGATCAGCACTGAAAAATAAGTTTTGATTAAATGCAACTACCTTTTTTCTCCTTTCCTCTCTTGCTGTACGGAGTTCCTCAGTCTTTTGCACCAGCTGACCTGCCGCTGAGCTCCTGTCAGGAACGACACCTCGGAGCTCCGCCTCCAGACGCTCTCGCTCCTCTTGAAGCATGGTCCTTAGTCGGTTCCTGCGCTGCTCCAGGCTGGCAATATGTTCCTCTTGTAATCTTTGTCTATGGTATGCTGACATACTGACAAAACGGAGGAAGAAAGAAATAAGTTGTTTTTCACTGGCTTCTCTATCTGTCAAGGGTTTCAGGGTCGTACTAGAAGAGATAATACCACATTTATTTACACCCTTTATGTTCACACATGTTGTACACACACAGACACATTATATATCACAGCACATTTATATAAGGGTACATAGATGTAAGGGTAAACACATTGATATTTAGTTGTTGAGACGAAAACATGGACTGTATGTATATTAAAAAACAAAACACTGAAAAAGAGGCATTGACTTCCATACTATTGCTCTCAAATATTGTTAAATGTATTTAGACATTTGTAGATGAAACACATTAGGTATCTCTCATAGAAAAATATAGACAAACTGATTTGTGTTGTGCCAAACAAACAGCTAATGTGTTTCCCAAATAAGTAAAAGTTCACAGGGAGCAATAGTTTGTAGAATACTGTCTCTTTTGAAATTTCTATGGTAAAGACACCTATATTTTACAAAGGTTATTTACTTACAGAGCCATCTAAGTGAGGACAGGGAAAGAGAAATGGTGTAAAACAGGTGAAAGAGCTTGCAATCATTTTAATAATGAACATTAACATGGAATCACAGGTGAAGTTCGTACTTTGCTAAATCTACTTAAGGAAAATTAGAATGAAATAACAGTATTTTATTGTTACAAGGAAGAGACCTGAAATCAAACTTAATTAAAATTACAAGTGATGTCTTTAATTCAATGATGAGAATGAGCATTACTTGTTAACTGATGTGGATCCAAGTGTCATGTGAAGTAACTAAGTACATTTACTGTACGATAGTAAAACAAGTATTATACTTGAGTAAATGTACTTAGTACTACAATTTTGGGTTACTTGTACTTTACTTAAGTATTTAAAAGTTGTGCTACTTTGCACTTCTACCCCCCTACAAATCAGAGGTAAATTTAATATATTTACTTACTTTGCAGATTTGGATTATTGACGCAAATAATAATCAACACTTAAATAAGACTTAAGAGAGTATTCCTACACTCTGGTACTTCTACTTTTACTCAAGTACAAGATCTGATTACTCCAAACTCTGGTTGTCTTTTAGTAAAGAATATATTTAGCTCTATTTGTTTATAGATCCAGCTGTGGTGCAGGAAGTGACCCACCTCTGCTGGTAGGAGTGTCTGGAGCTCCAGGCCTCCTGCTTCTGGCTGCGGACCCCCTGCTCTCTGAAGTACCGGGCGTGCAGCTCCCACTGCTGCCGCTGCCGGGCCTCCTGCTCCCGCTGCCGGGCCATCTGACCGGCCAGCCCCCGGGACCGACCGGGCACATGGGCCGAGAGACTCGGCAACGCCATAGACCTGAATCATAATGAACACACAACATAATAAGAAATCACGTTAAAGGTATCCTCGCTTACATTAACGTTGGGTGATGTATTGTTTACAAGTGAGCTAAAGTCAGTTTGTCCTGGCCAATCGAAAAGCTCTCACTACCAAGCAACAAATACGCACTTGTGACCATTTCAGCTCGATAACTAATACCTACTCACCCTTCCGATAGCACACTGAATTGCTTTCTATTGATGTTTGTTAAAACCAGTCCAGGTTTTGCATTTTGTAATAGACAAATCCTTATTCAAACCATGGATCCACCAGTTTTCCTTAGTTACCGCGCCACACTTCCTGGTTACTCTCACGCTACGGGGTGTAGTAAAGTTCAAAATTGTCTACTGGAGGAAATTGCGAAACGCACCTTCGTAAAAAATGTATGTGGCAATCTTATTTATTAAAAATAATAATTCATACAAAGTTTATAGTTCTGCTTATTTATTTATTTTCTACTATGATCTAGAAACATCACCAATATTGTATTAAACCGCTGTTTTGGTATTGTTATTTAGTGGGAATGCTGATACAGCATTCCAACTATATGTTATGCTACGGACAAAAAGTTTATTATTATTATTCCGCCGACTTATTTTGGCCCTCTTCTCCTCCCACATTCAACATCGCAGAAACTCCGTTCAAACATCAAAACGTTCAGCTCGGTCGGGAATCGCAGGCTATTACTTTTCTCATTCATAACTTTCATAATTCCAGAGATACATCCCATAATTTATCACATCTTTAACCATTGAAGTCAATGGAGATATTCTTCAGACTTCAACAAATCTTCATGCGACTTCAACTGCTAACTGTTCATTCATACTTTCACTCAGAAACCTCATTCCAACTTTAAAATGTTACACATCTTTCTGACATTATTCGTGTAACACAACTTTTAAATCTGATTCTTACTTTTAGAGATATTAAACATTGTTCAGTTGTTAAAGAGGTTTTCTTCAGATTTTAACATTAGTGCGTGCTGTCACAGCTAGAGTGGATCAAATCTTGAAATGTGCCTTCATATATTTTTTTTAAACTGCCATAATTCCCAAACCCTACATTCCTGAGACATAATTGTTCATGACAAACGGAGGACAACATCTCGTAGCTTGAAAAATGACAAATAATTAAGCAAAAATAATTAAACAAAATGCCTCTTGAGGGCATGAAGTGAAAAAACGTTCAACATGTCTCCATTAAAACCCATTGTAATTTCAGGCTGATATTTCCTCACAGCAGCAGCCGCACACCTTTAGTTAAACTGCCAAAAAGGCCACATTATTAACCCGAAAGTACACAAAAATTACACTTCAGATACTCAACTGCCTTGACATGCTTCACGTTTTGAAATTTCACAGATATCTGTTATCGTTCTTCCACAAAACGTTCACATGTAAGAGGTTTATCTCTCATTCAGAACAATGCAAACCTTTGATATCTTCAGAGCTCGTTAGCTCAACTATAAACACCTGTGTAATGGAACACGATGATGTCATCACTCCAACTGACAGCAGTCAGTTTATAACTGTTCATTTCATACTCACACACACACACACACACACACACACACACACACACACACACACACACACACACACACACACACACACACACACTCTCTCTCTCTTTCTCACAAACTCTCTCTCTCTCTCTCTCTGCCACACACAGAGTCTCTCTCCCTCTCTCTCTCTCTCTCTCTGCCACACACACACAGACACACACACTCTCTCTCTCTCTCTCTCTCTCTCTCTCTCTCTCTCTCTCTCTCTCTCTCTCTCTCTCTCTCTCTCTCACACACAATGTTCCAAACGGCCCAAAACTTCACAGGTTTGGTAACGATGCAGCCATCAACGCATCTAAGCGTATTATGGGGTGTCATCAAATGCCGTTGCCATGGCGACAGACCACTCGCCATGAAGCACGATGTCGCTGTAAGTCCAATGGAAACGGTCCGATCGTCCCCCAAACTTCGCTTGCATATCACCGGTCCAGCCCTCAACAGCTCTACGTCAATTATGGGGTTTCTTCAAATGCCGTTGCTATGGCAACACAATGCTCGCCATGAAACACGGTTTTCTCATAACTTCAGTGAAAATGTTCCAAACGGCCCAAAACTTCACAGGTTTGGTAACGATGTAGCCATCAACACATCTAAGCGTATTATGGGGTGTCATCAAATGCCGTTGCCATGGCGACAGATCATTCGCCATCAAGTTAGTTCAAAAGTTTGCAGTTCAAATATTCTGCTGCTTTTCCAAGCCTTTTTACTTTCTTTTCTTCACTCATCACACATTCAAGCCCCCAGTGTTCATGTATCATTTCAATCTAAATTCTTCACTTTCTTCTTACACATTACATTTCAGCATAGCAGTTTAGCATCAGCTTTTCAGCATAAAGCATTTCCACTAGCAATTTCTTCAGGAATTGCATTCTCTAGTTATTATTGTTATTATAAAATACAATATTTTGTGTTTTATTATTTAAAAATAAAACTTTATATTTTTTTAATTGTCTGAATTGTGTGAAAGCATATAATACAAATAAAACAAGAAAAGGCCATGCACTGACTTGCACTAGTTTCTACAGTTACCTTTTAAGCTTCTGTGTTGTTTAATAATTATTGTTCTGTAGATATACTGAATTAATTGAGTGTAACGAAATGGCAAATGCAGATACTTTAAGATATTCCACAAAGCCCCATTCGTTGGCAGTAAAGCACCACATGCGATTAAAAACAGAGGAAGAATAGTGTTGGGTCAGCTGATCAGACACATCATCTGACTTTCTTGTGTTTGTTGTGCACTAAACGCCATTTATCGGCTGTTTAAACACGGAGCGATGACCCAGTTAACAAGTTGACCACTGGAGGAGCCTGGATAAGACGCAACCTGGGTTCACTGTAGGTGACTGGTGTGTGTGTGTGTGTGTGTGTGTGTGTGTGTGTGTGTGTGTGTGTGTGTGTGTGTGTGTGTGTGTGTGTGTGTGTGTGTGTGTGTGTGTGTGTGTGTGTGTGTGTGTGTGTGTGTGTGTGTGTGTGTGTGTGTGTGTGTGTGTGTGTGTGTGTGTGTGTGTGTGTGTGTGTATGTGTGTGTGTCAGTGTGGGAGTATGGCACACAGCTTCTTCTGGTGTCACTGTATTGCTCCGCAGTTGAGGGTTGACAGCCTGTTGCTATCATCATTTCAGAGGTTAGAGTGTGTCCGGACTGAAGAGATGGCTCTGCTAATGGAGCACCAGTTCAGACAGATGCCTGCTGACAGACAGGTGGAAACAAGACCGTTTCTGGAGGCTGTGTCATACCTTCCACCATTCTTCGGTAAGTGACATTTCCACAGCAGTTAGAGGCCATATATATACGCACAACTATACAGGATATACAGGATATACTGTTGGGTGCAGCGAGTAGAGGCATTTAATACATCAATGATTAAGTTGTTAGAGTTATTCAGTGATTGTACAGTTTAGGAAAGATTGATGCAGCGAATGATTATTTTCATTATGGTAATCTGCAAATCAATTTCTAGGTTTTTTTCATTGAATAATTTGGTCTATAAGAGGTCAGGAAATAGAGAAATGTCCAAGGCAATGTCTTTAAATATCTTTTTTTGACAATCCAAAACCCACATTTATTAAGTTAAATATGATTTTAAAAAGAGAAAGCAGTAAATCTCCACATGACTGAATCTAAAAAACAGCATTTTGGCCATTTTTGGTTGAAAAAATCCACAAATGATTGATATATTTTCAAAATAATAAACTATTAATTGATTATTGTTCCATATACCGACTTAGCATTGCAGCTGTAGATTGGTGACACAGTCTAAGTGTTATAAGTATATTTCAATCATGTAGATTCATAGTGCTGTATGATTTCAGCTGAATATTGTTAACTTGTCTAAACATGCACACAAATGCAGGATTTTATCCGACAGAAGTCCCCTACAATTAACTTTTTATCAGACGTCATGCATCATTCATGTGGGATTTGTTCAACTTTGATTAATAAACCCATAAGTTGTTGTGAGGACAATCTGTCACAACACTTCCATCAAACCCAATAAAACGATCTTGCTCTTTCCAAATGATAATCTTTTTTTGATATCGTATTTCTCACCATCAAGCTGTCCACAATCCTTTAGCATGCATAATTTAACCCACTGGCCTGGATTTTTAGTTGTGAAAATTGATTAGTACGGTGTTGAGTTCCCCTCGCCCATTCACCGGCGGCATGGTGCACCGGAGCATCTTTGTGCTGCTTCATTCTGTATTAATATGCCAAAGGCATTCTATTGAATTTGCCATGTGAAACCCTAGAGAGGAACCAAGTCTGATGTCCATATTAAACTCTTTCCTCCTTGTCGCCATTGTTTTTTCCTGACCTAGAAATTGCTCAGCCAACTTTCCTACAAGCCATTAAAGTCCTGCACACTGGTATAGTTCATTCACACAGGTGTTTTAAATTAGTCTGCCTAATTAGCCCTCTTCTTTGAGGCTGCATGGACAGTGGATCCCCTGTTAGTTTTGCACCTGTTTTAAATGCTGGACAATTCATGTTTTTATTATTCTTATTGACCTTAGTAAACTACTTGCATGGGTCTGTCAAGCTTAAGAATAATAGACAGAATAATTACCTGTGTTGCAATGCAGGATCTATAACAAGTGGAGAACTGAATGGTGTTTGTTAACAGAAACATATTTATTTAGTTTGTTTGAATTCAATTTTTTCTAATTACATTTTACCGATGTTTAATTGTTTGTTTTTTTAAGATGCACTGTGTCTATGTAACAAAAAGAGAGTGGAACATATTGAGAGAGCCGTACAAGTTAAGGACATCCAAGAAACAAGATATGTTCAGTGTTGTGGATAGCATCGGCACAAAAGAGCAGACTTTTTCACGAGTAGTTTCCACTAACCGCTCAGGAGATAAAAGCTGTCTGTTGTGTCAGCGGGTTGTCCAGGAGCCGCGTGGGGTCGGGACTCTAGATGTCATTGTTCACCATCCTGTCACCAAATACTCCTGTAGCCTAATTAAAGGACACCTAATGATATGATAATACTGTGATGAAGTGTCTGTGAGAACAGCAGACTATGAAGGCCTAATCCAGTACTGTGGAGCTATTGTAGGCCACAAGAGTGCTTTAAAGATTGGAATATTTTCCCAGTATTTCACTTAAAGGTCACCTATTATGCAAAATCCGCTTTTTCATGTCTTTTATACATCAACATGTGTCCCCTCTGTGTAAAAAGATTCTGAAAGTTTCAGGAAAAAAGATTCTCTCTCTTTTTATCCTGATCCATTTATATAAAAACCTGTCTGAAAATGAGCTGATCAGATTTTGGCCACTTTATGATGTCACAAAGTTATTTTGGCTTGTGTAACCATTAGCCAATCACCAACCAAGGTAACCCCCCCCCCCCCCACCTTATCACCTGAATCTCCTCCTAGATCACCATTGTGTTCTTCTTAACCAAATATCTCTCAGAGGGGCGTGGGGAGTGGCTCCTTATTTTCATCTAAAGTAACAGACTATAGGATTATGGGATGTGATCGCTTTGGTGTTTCGAGCCAAACACTTCAGAGACATGTTTTGTAAATATCTGAGACCTATAATATATTGATGAAAAATAGTATAATAGGGGACCTTTAAAGAGTAACTCCTCCTGATCATGTTTCCACCAAGATTCAGTGGTTTAGTTTCTCACCTCACTGCCATGACGTACAGGTGTACTCCAGCATCCTGTCAGATTACTGCTGAGTGTTACAGGTGCAACAGAACACACTTCCCATTACAGGCAGCAAAACACTTGTAAGCCTGGTGTTAAGTGTTTTACTGTACTTTAGGTCTGCTTGATTTACAACTTAACTAAAGCTACACGGTACACCATGGAAATCAGTTAAAATAATCACATCCGGTGTTGAAAATGAATATCTGTACAGGTTTCACAATTTAAATAATTCCAAATGTCTTGTGTGTCCTTTTTAAACATAGTATTCCTTTAATTAAGCCTGACATGAGATTTCTTGTGTGGTGCAACAGGAGTTTTAAAGACAGAGCCACCAAAGAGTCTGTGTGGTTAAAAGGTCAAAGGTCAGGTTTTGTGCCACAGTTGTAATGTATAGTAGTATTTACTAACATCAAGATTTTATTGGAAGTGTATTTTCTTTTTAAATGATGTTGTTTGCATGTGACTTATGTAACTATGTGAATTAGAACTACTGTATAGCCACTTAACTTGATATGCATGTCAGTGGTGCTTTAAACTATTTGCACGTGCCATTTAAAAGTTTAAATATTAAGAATTGTTCATGATTGCGAATAAAACAAAAAAGCCATGCATACAGACCTACATTACAGTTATTACAGTAACCCTTTTAGCTTCTGTAATGATAGAGGTTGGTGGTCTCCATGGGAGGGAGAATAATGCTGGTATTCTTATATAGGCTAAATACTTTTTTTTGTTTACATACTGTAGGTACGTTTTAACTCACAAGATTCTCAGTCACTCTCTGTGTAAACATTCCTCCACAGACTGCCTTGGTTCTACCATCTTTGCACCATTAAAGGTGGACTTAGCTAGTAACATCACAGTAAGTATGTTTATTCTTTCATGTCACCTGAGTTTAATCTGAGGCTTTATTTATCCATTTCTCAGATTTGTTATAGAAGAATACATGTTCTGTTTTACCTAATAGAAAATCAAGGCAGTTTACGAAACCAACCCGGTGCGATTCAAGACACTGCAGCAGATTCTGGAGGCAGAGAAGGAAATACACGGCGCAGGATGGCCTAAAACTGGAGCTACATTGGCACTTCTGTGGCTGAAAAGGTTTGAGAAACTTTACATTTCAGGTTTTGTAGATTATTGAATTGCACGTGTTCATTTACTTTTGGGAAAGATCAAATCAAGGCAGGTTTATTTTATTTAGTCCAATCTCACAAATCATGAATATGGACTTTTTTTTTTTATGTACAACATATGACAGCATACTGTATGTCCTTTCTGACCCCATGCTTCAGACGATGAAACAATTACAGGCATATAGGAGATGTTGTGTGATAGTATACTGTAGGCAAGCAAGATACAATTACAATAGAGACATCCTTATGACAAAAATATATAACGAATGTGAACAGCATCTTCCAGGTGACCCAAACATCCACACAACCTCATCTCCACCATGTAACCTCTTAGTCTGCACCCATAATCACTGTGCGTGTCTTTTTTATCGACAGGGGTCTACGATTTATTCAAGTCTTCCTACAGAGCCTGGTGGATGGTGAAAAGGATGATAGCAACCCAAACCTCATACGAGTCAATGTTGCCAAGGCCTATGAAATAGCCCTGAAAAGGTACCATGGCTGGTTCGTGCAGCAGCTCTTCAAGGTGAGTCTTTTATGAGGCAGTTTTAATTGTGTAACATTAGCATACAAAATACACAGAGTTGTGTATGAATTTGACATTTTTATATTTGCTCTTCCAGGCAGTTCTTTTTGGTTCTCCATATAAGACAGATTTTATGAAGGCACTTTCCAAGGGTCGGGATGTCAAGGAAGAGGAATGCTTGGAAAAAATCAGAAAGTTCCTCGTCAACTTCACTGCCACTGTTGATGCTATTTATGATATATACACTAAGCTGAACGCTGAACTTGACTACACAGTGTGACCGCAGGACGTCCCTCCATTGGTCTTAGTTTACAAAGCCTTTCACAGTCTGCAGCTTGTAGTCTAAATCTTGACTTCATGTCTCCCTTCAGCTCCTCTGACAGCTCACTGTTGGAGTGTATGAATAATACTCAAACACATCAAATATTTGTGCACTTTTAAGCATCTGTGTTCCTGTTCTGATTCTCTCTTTACGCATTCTTCAGTGTTGTTTGACTCTGACGCAAGTCTCCATAAGCAGCTGCAGATTATTATTACAACAAGTCCATATTATTTTTTAATCAACAATGTTAACGTTATATTGTCCAAAGTTATTTGTTTTTTCCAGGCACCTATTCTGATAAGATAACATTTTTACAAGATGCTGCACGAACACTGTTATAAACAGTTTATTTCAAACATGCTTGTGCCTTAAGATGTAGCCACAGAGCACTTCAGTGACCTTTTTAGCTTTTCTGCCTTAAAGAAAGTATATGTATCACTTTGTGTAAAGCAGGCATGCTCTTTAAGCACCAGATGTTAATTATTACTGCCTCTTTCTTCCATGCTATGCAGGATGTAAATATGTATTCTAACTATAAAGCAATACTCTGTCCCCTCTTCTCTCAGGTTCTCACATTACACTGAATGTGTATTTTCTTTTAAACTTCTTCAGTCAATGTGATGTAAAGTGTTGCATTAAAACTGTGTTACCTTCAACACAGTGATTAGACATAATTGAAATGCTTGATGAAGCACATTACATTTCAAATGGGACAAATTGAGAGCAATCCGACCTCAAATGAAGGTTTTGTCGGTGTCCTTTCGTTAGTCAGTATTGTTTTAAGTTTATGTGCTGAAATGCTCAGCTAATGTCTCTTGTGGCTGAGATTATGTTGCAGTGCAAATATATAATGCAAAAAAACAAACCTTTTATTTTCAATGTATGTAAACTAGAATTTACAATAAAAGATATTTAATAATTTATGTAATTTTCTTAATCTTTTGGTGAAGCTATACAATTTTCCACAATTGTTTTAACTGATTAACTCTGCTCAGATCTTCAATGGCGGAAAGTAAATACGTATGTTTATTCTAATTTCTATTCTGATAACGTATGTTCTAATTCTAATGCATTTTCATTGCATTGCATTACTAATAATAATCCAGTACATTACATTACATTGCATTTACCTGACGCTTTTATCCAAAGCGACTTACAATAAGTGCATTTGATCAAGAAGATACAAACTTGAAGAAAACAGAATCATATAAGTAGGCCTACATCAGGTTTCATAGAGCCAAAACATTTCAAGTGCTACTCAACTGGCTTTAGATAAGCCAGTCCTTTATTAGTAATACGATATTACAATTTATGCTTATATAAGATCATGAACGCTGGATTTTTACTCATAATAATGTTTATTACTAGTATATTACGTTATAATAACGTAATATGTTTTGCATTTACTCATGTAATGGATCTTTGTCTTGCAGTACAAATAATACTTTCTCACAACCATGTAGAAATAAGTTAATATTTTACCATACAAAAGCTTTAAAAGTTATGAATGCTGAAAACAAAAGGTCTTGACATGACATGACTGATGACATGTAAATGTATAACTTTCCAGGAAGAAGAGAGAGGCTCAGAGTTACCTTAGTGTTTTGTTTGAGTAAGCGCCTAGCGGCCGTGTCTGGTACTGCACCCCCCTCCAGCGGTGGTTCCTACCCCTGCACGCAGCGGTCACTTACTTGTCCCACCCAAAACCTGTGAAAGCATCCGTTGTTCTGGCGGACTTTACCAGCACTCCGACGCTCAACTCAGAGGGATAAAACTCGCAAGGACAGCAAAGGAGCCTCTTACACGAGACTGAGAGGGAGAAATAAAGTTTCAAACTTTTGGAAAAAGCTTCGGACTAGTTTACCAAATAAAACAAAGAGATAAGGTCAAGGTAAGTAACACTCCTGATCCCTTTTGTTAATTAAATGCCTTCAGAAAAATATGATTGAGGTCGTATTAGTGTATGAGTTATAAATACGTTTCTATAATTTAACACAGTGTTCATACTCAGTTCTAGAAATGTCTTTTAAGTTTATATTTTTGCCCAGTTAATCCATATGATTGTTTGTGTTTTTTTATAAATGGTGAGATCTTTAAAATCTAATAGTAAAATCTAATAAAATCTAATAAATCTAAATCTAATCTAATATCTAATATGAATGAGCTGTGTTTGTTGTTACTGTTATTCCCAGTAGCCATTAGGCTCCAGGCAGAGCGTGCAGCCTCTCTGGCTCTGGATAGTGTCACAAGGTTCAAGGTTCAAGGTTCTTTATTGTCAATCTGACATAGCTACAGAGTAATTATGTAGTTGAAAATCTTATGTCACAGGCTTCTCCAACAATGCAACATAATAACATAATAACAATACAGATAGCAAGAGCAATACAAAGAGAAAAATAGTTATAAAATAAAGTGATGATGTGGAATAGTGCAGTACGAGTCTATATACAAGTTATTGGAATTAGATATATTAGATATTAGATACATATTACTGAGTAGCAGAAGAATGTTTTGAAGTTGTTTCAACAGTTCAATTGTTTAACAGTCTCACTGCCCGCGGGAAGCAACTGTCTCCGAATCTTCTTGTCATTGCCAGGATGCTGCGGTAACGTCTGCCAGACCGCAACAGAAAGAACAGTTTGTGGCTGGGGTGATGGGGGTATTTGATAATCCGTAGTGATTTCTTCCTGAGCCGCTGGGAGTCACATCAGCAGCAGTGACTTTGGGCAGGAAGTCTTATATCTGTGAGGCTACATCACCCACATTTAGTTACAAGAGGATGTACACTTTTCTGACCCAATAAGTGGATAAGATCTGAGCTTTGGGTCCTCTTTCTTTTTGTATTTTATGATCCTATTTTATCACTGTGACAGGTTTAATACTCAGCGGGTCCTCTCTGCCTGACATCTTCCCCTAATAACTAACTCTCTGTGTTCCTCTGTATTTTTACTATCAAATGCCCATTGAGGTGTAAAGGCATGATAATCCCTGTGTGTCAGGAAGGGTTGTGAGTCATTCCTCCCCCTTAGTGGGACCCCTGCGCCCTGTTTGTGTTGCTCCTCTGCAGCAAAGTCTGGCTTAGATAACTTGTCAATGTCATGAACAAACCCAGGAAGGCATCTCATTTGTAAGGAAGCTGCAGGGGAAACTTGTGACTACATAGGATAATGTAGCAGTAACCTGTGTGTTCGTGTGTGCAGAAAAGCAGAAGTCGTATTGAGTTAGTATATCCAGTGTTAAACATACAGTTGGTGTGATTCTGCCTGCAAGAGGAAACAGTAACTTCTGACCAATGAGAGGCCGGAGTCAGAGACATGTTATTAGTGTTGGCATCAGACCTGTCCTTTTCCTTATATCCCAACCCCAAACGTCAGAGCTCCTTTATTTCAACCAGGACCTACAGATTTTATATTTCTCTCTCCTGTGTCAATTAATGGTGACTCTTTTTGTTTCTCTACAGGATGCCCACATGCTTCAGCATCCTTTCCAGTTTCCCTTGAAGAGGAATTTGGCACACCATTGTGATAAAAGGGATGAATGAGGTACGGTGGGGTTAAATGCCAAATGTCTAGTCTACCTTAAAATGTAAACTTCCAGCGATTTGCGGGGTTCATTTGATAATTGTAGTGTCAATGCAATTATAATGTTATTTAAATTAAAAAATGTGCCCCATTTTTCTCTCTTTAAAGTGGCTAGTGTTTTCTGGATTGTTTATTTAGTTCTCCTTATGTTTATCTTTTGTATCTCACAAGGTAAGTGACTTGATATACAATTATTTCGCAACATGATGTGCTGTAACTTGAAGAAGAAGAAAGGAATTTAAGAGATTTGACTACTCATATACGACTAAGTCATCTCTAACCTAAGAAATTAGATACAAATAAGAATACATGGGTGAGTCCCAGAAATTAATGGTTACCAAAAAAGTGGAATAACAACTAGTTAGTTTATTGAATCCTGCATGAGGCCAAATGCTTTAGCCTTGGTAACACTGAATGAATAGGCCACATAACTTTTGTGTGTTAACAAGAAAACTCTAAGACTTATTTTTCCATGTATACAAGACTTTCCTGACTACCTTAAGGCGGTGCAGCTCACCCAGAACATTTTGTTTATTCCAGGGCCGCTCTGCTCTCTTTAGAAGGTGCCACCCCGTCCTGCCCAAGGCCGACACCCTCTCATCAGCTGCCCTCTCTGTGGACACAGGCGATGGCGGGGCTGCTCAGCCTGACAGCGATGCAGCGCTCGCCCTGTCTGAGCTCTCCCACCTGTTTGAGAACGGGGACGGTTCCCCGTCAACTCAGGACACGACTCAGGACACGAGTCAGGACTCAGCCCTGGAGCTGGTTCAGCCCGGCCAGCCCGCAGAAAGCAGGCAGAACCTGCGGATGAAGTTCCAGGGTGCTTTCAAAAAGGGCATTTCCACCCATATGGACCTATTGGAATCCACCATATATGATTCAAATGTGGTGCAAGGCCCCAAGAAAGCACCAATGGACTCGCTCTTTGACTACGGTACATGCAGGAACACCAGCAACCAGAAGAGACGCAGGAAGAAACTCCCAAGAGGGTGTGTTTCCCGAATGTCATAATGTGTGTCCTTTTAGAATTGATGGTTTAGGGGTTCCTAACTTAGTGAAACTAGACTGAAAAGAGCTGATTGGAAAAATTGTATCGTAAAAAAGGAAAAAACTCCTACCAATTCCACTCTGTTAACAGAGGTGTGCCACATAAGAAAGTATGCACACACACACACACACACACACACACACACACACACACACACACACACACACACACACACACACACACACACACACACACACACACACACACACACACACACACACACACACATCCTCACACACACACACATTCAGGCCATTCACTGGTCGAACAGAGAGCATGTTGTTGGTCTCTCTGCAGCCATTGAGGTAATATTTAGGCTGCTCTACCTGTCCCATAAACAAAGAGGTCTTTCTTCTGGAACACTCAAGGGTGTGGATTTCTGCTTAATAGATGGTTTGTTGTTCATTAAACATCCATTCAAGTCTAAATGTTATGTCAATGACATGTGATCAGAATCCATGGATTCAAAGGAAAGACACGACTATTTTGTTTTAATAACTTATATGCATTTTACCATGAATGTATGACAACATGTCTTGTTCTTGTGTCTCCTCAGTAAATCTGAGACAACCTGTGATGATGTTCCAAGCTCTGACCCACCGAGAGTAATGAAAATATTCAACCGCTCGCTCCTGTTCGACTGCGTGTCACACGCAGACGCAGAGGCCCTTGAAGGCCTCTTGGAGTACCTGCAAAGTCAGGAAAAGAGGTTAACTGATGAAGAGTTTAAAGGTGAGTCTAAAATGTGTAGGTTGTCACTTACATCACATAATCAACAAGGTTGTGTTTGGATAGGAGGGCAGTTTTTTTTTACACAGATTCATTTGACACAGTTTCTGTCCAAATTCCCTGTCTTGAATGTTTATTCTGCCTTTGCTCTGCAACAGAAACTCAGTTTATCTGGGGCCGACTTCTACCTTTGGCCTTTTTTGTTCTCCTGCTCCCCTATTTGCTTGTTTTGGCTCAAAGGATATGAGAGGGAAAAGGTGGAGTTGTGTTTGTGTCCTGCTAGAGGCAGGCCTATAGGAAGGCTTCCTGTGTGTCTAAGAACTTTTTAC